ATAATGAAGACTTTGGTTTAAGATGACTATTTTCTTACCATATTAAGAAATATTCTTGTATCTTTAGCTATCTTTATTTTTAAAAAATGTTCATAAATTAACCTTGTAAAAATAGTGTTTTAATGGATTTAGTACAGTAGAGCATACTTGAGTTTGACATAGTTTCTACTAACCTATATTCTATTTCAGCCCCCTGATTCTCATATTTATGTTTCATACATATACATAAACTGTCTTGCCCTGTGGACATTGAAACTTGAGATCTTTGTATTGGATTTTCAAAGTGGGGAAAATATGAAGGTTTCTCAAATTTATTTATAAAGTTCATAAGAATCAAATCTAATTATGGTTACTAGGCTTCGTGCTTTTAAAAGGAATAATGTTCAGCAGAATATCCTAGTTTGTAAATTTTTGGTATATGACTGTAATCATAGAATATAAATTGTTTAGTTAGTTATTTAGTTTACATGCAGGACTTGTGTTTATTTAACTTATAGTATATTATAGAAAACATGATGATTGGTGATAAAAAGCTGAGCTGAAGCAGATGAATTCACAGGAAAAGGACAAGAAAGGAGCCAATAAAAACCTTCCGACTAACAGATGCGTTCAGATTTTCTTCCTCTAGAGCTAATGTAGCTGATTTGAGAGGAAGTGATTGCCTCGTTGAGTCAAGACACTTCTATGATTCACACTAACCTTTCTCTGGTGGGCAATTTCATTCTCACTCTTATAGCCCCCAAGGAACTGCATGGGTGCACGCTGGAGGATTTCCTGACCAAAGTTCATGTACAGTGTAATTTAAGTAAAAGCCCTGATTACGTTCTGTGCTGCTCCGAGTTAAATGATAGGAAAACTTGACATATGTGGAAGGGAAGAGGCAAATGCGTGTTTTCCTCTCATGATTTTGTAAAAAATAGCACAAGAAATGCATTAACTCGTGTTGATTCTAAGTGTTAAACAGCCAATACTAGGACATTGGAAGTAGAAATAGATTACTGAGAGTATCAAAAAGACTAATTTACTGATTTATTAGCTTATGACTTATTATCAACTGATTTATTAGTACATCTAATTGCTTCAATGTAGAACCATACACACACACACACGCACACACACACACACACACACACACATATGCAATTGTCAGATTATTCAATATAACAAATGGTAAAATATCAGCTATATTAAAACCTATTGTATGAATATTGCTAAATGCCCTACTTTGAATTTCCCAGTAGATCTGTTAATTTTCTTATGAGATGATTTTAGACATATCCAAAAGCATATTCTGAATGACTAGGGCATTTTTAGGAATTTATTCTATTAGCAATGAGCCTTCTGGTAATATCCACACTATCCTAAAACCATCTTATTTTATTAAATCTTGATACTATCCAATGAAACATTAGCAGAGGGGCAAGTGTTAAAATGAATTCTGAAGTTTCCAAATTTTTAATAGGTTCCTTTTCCTTTAGCGTCTTAAAATCTGCCTACTGTGTTTAGGTTATTGGCTTCTCAGGCCAAAATATACCAAAGGAAAGGAGAATCATTTTAATATTTAATAGTAAGTTCATATTTGATTCATAGGCTGATTTATGTTTTGCAAACAATTGGCAAAGTAGTAATAAGTTATAAAATATAATTTACTTATTATAATTTATTTTATATTATGTATTATGTATTTATAATAATTATACATTATTATTCACTATCTCAATAGTCTTGAGAGCATAGTAATTTAATCCTGAGTGTCAGTGTTAGTTTGAAACAAAGGTATACACAGAAATGCACTCCCGCCTCTCCCTTGGGCACCTAATCACCTCTTCAGGCTCTGTCTTTTCTCCACATTACTTATCACCATCTAATAAGCTATAAATTATTTATATGTGTCGCTTTTATCTTCCCACTCAGGAATGTAAGCTCTGTGAGGGAAAGGATTTTTGAGTGTTTTGTTTTACTGATATAGTCACATAATAAGCACTCAATAAATATTGGTTGAATGAATGAGTGGATGTGAAATATATTAGCATAAAGTGACAGTGTACAGAAACTTAAAAATAATTTGAGCAAAACATTAGTTAAAATAGATTCTGGGGCTAGTGAAGAAGTTGGGATTTTAATTCTTACTTTACTATTTTTGTAACTTTAGGAGGCCAAAGAAATTGAGGAACATCCACTAAGAAAACACGCTTCTCTTGTCTTTATACTTTTTTCTCTTTTGCCCATGCTTCTTCTGTTAAAAATTCCTTTGATTTCACTAATTCCTAATAATGTTTTAAAATTTATTTCAGGTAACAATTTATCCAGGAAGTCTTCTTTGAAGTCTTCACTATGTGTTAGATGTTCCTGCTGTATGCTCAAACAGAACTTTATCCCTTACCACAACGTTAAATCTTATCAGACTGTACATATTTAACTTTATTGTTCTCTCAGTGGGCTATGCTCTAAAGGCAGGGGCCATGGTTTCTTGTTTGATTTTTAAATCCAGACATTGTATTTGTTTCCTAGAAGTCACTAAATTAAAAAGAAAAGAGAAAGAGGTCTTCATGGAAAAAGAGAGGGGAAGGAAAATAGAAAGAGAGAAATAAAGGGTGATAACTAGTTGTTCATTTTTATAAAGAAAAAACATCTAGACAATGAAAGGATTTGGATATTACAATAGGTTTCCAAGAAAGGTTTATTTAACAAATGAATTCAGATGATATTATGAGTACCTCTGTGTTCCAGGCATGATTCTTGGCAGTGAGGAGGATGCAGTAAACAAAGAGATAATGTTATTGCCTTCATTTTAGTGGGAGAGACAGACAATATACAAGTATAACATTATCTATGTAAAACAATACATAACATAATGTAAGACATAGTATAAAATACATATAAATTGTAAAAATATACGAATTATATAAATATGCAATAAGATCTTGAATTTGAGGATGTTTAAAGAAAATCTGCATGTTAAGGATTGCCTCTTTGCTCAAGATCTCTCATAATTCTTTACTTGTAAGGTGTTATTTTCTCTATTCCAGAATGTGAAGTATAAAATAAATCACTCCAGGAGTGGCATTTATAACTTACATGTGCGTATCAACCCATATTGAATGTGGAAAGAACAATTTGAATAGATTTTGAAACCATGAGTAGGCCTTTGAGGGGCCCATCTCCCACTTGGGTGCAGAAGCATCAAACCGTGAGGGGAGACTTAGCCCTCTGGAAGGCTCCCAGTGTGCAGGCCTCCTTCTTGCACAGCTGGGCAACACCCAAATTTCTCAACTGACAATAAAGATGAAAATGGTTTGAGAACTTACAAATGAAATAAACTTCTCAAGACTTTTGGTTAAAAATAACTTAATTTTGTTTCACTCTCCAAGGTCTTGATTAACTTGGTATTATTTACTAATAAGTCATTTCAGTAGACAAAGAATTTGAGTTTTATATTGGATTGGGGAGTTTCCAGGGTATGGGTACCAATAGTTAACTGATGTTGCTATGGTGATACAATAAGGAATACACTACCATTTTTGTTTTAATGTAGGTGAATTTTTTTCCAGCATATGGAAGGCTATACTTAGAGTATCACAGTGCTCTGTGGTAGGGGTGAGTGGGGGGGAACCAATCACAGCGAATGAGGTAGAATGGCTGTGTTATTGCAGTACATAAGACTTTGATTACATACTGCCAAGATTCATACCAGCACAGTAGTTGTTGACAGATAAAGTAACAAAAATGACACTCATTTATTTTTTCTTTATTGAGAACTCAAGGAAAAGCAGATTTTCAGTTCTTGTCCTTACTACATTGGTAGAACAGAGACTGACAGCAAAAATGTGTCGGTCCAGAAATATAAATTAAACTGAGGTTCATATCAAAAGTCCATTTAGTCTTGGAGAAGGAGCTGCTGTTTGGATTATTTTTGATTCTAAAATAAATATACTATGGAGTGTCACAGTATAACTGGTATATATTAACCCTTTTCTGTAAGCAATATTTTCAAAATTATTGTTTCCAGTCTACATTGCTTTATTACTTTTGTAGTGTTTGAGGCTACTTGAATTGTCATGAGAATAGGTTACATTTCACTGAATGCAAATTACTAGCAATAGACACATGTACATCTCAGTCTGCAGGAAGCATAAAACTAGATTTGGAAAATTGATAACAGACCTTTTTCTCTATTACAAAGATTATATTGGATGCTGCAGTTTGGCTATCGAGATAAGGACAAAAGTAAGTGGGAAATGTAAAGTCAGAATTTTTGGTTTTATATTGTTGAAATCATTGATGCGTATTGAATGAAATTCAGGTTAAATCATTTTTACCTTTCCTTCATGTTACTTAAGTTGACATAACAAAAATAATAGTAATCAGGCCTCTTTCACTTTCCTCCCTTCCTTCTTTCCATCCTCCTCAAATCTTCCCTCTATTTCTCCCTTTCACTCTTTCTCTCTTTTTCTTTTCTCTTTCTCTTTTTCTTTCTTTTTTATTCAACTATCAACATGGATATTTTGCTACAGTTTCTCATAATTAAGGTACTACTATTTTTACTACAAAATTCTGGAAACAAAAACATGATATACTTAATGAATGATATATGTATCAGTGAATAAATATACTTAGTGAATGATATATGTATCGGTGAGTAAATAGAGTCATCAGTGAACTCTAAACATAATTATACTCCAACAATGTCCATTTCTTGAGCATATTTTAAAAACAATTTTGCTTACATTTTTTATTATTATTTTAAAGTTTACATTTGATAATTTTCTCATTAATTTTTTAGTAATAGAAAGATAACATGAACTTGTTTCTTGAATTACCTTTTCTGACCTTGATCAAGATGATAATTACGAAAAAGGGAGGCCTGGAAATCTTGTAAAAAAATTAAGCTTATAAAGTAGCTAAAATGGCCCTTCTGTACTGGTGTCGATTTCAAAATTAACATTTTGGTTCATGTGCTTCTAATAATCACTGACCCTTACTTCATGTACTTTCCACAGGAAATGAATACAGCAGAAATTACTTTGACCCACTGATGGATGAGGAAATAAACCCAAGGCAGTGTGGGATGGAGGTCAGCAGAGAGGGTGAGCTAGAATTAAGTATGTAATTTTTGTGTCAGAATATTCTTTTCCATTCATGAAAATGAGGTGACAAAGATCACACATGCAGTTCCATTTAGATTTTGCAGCTTACGATTTAAATGGTAAATTTTAACCATTAACAACATGATGGGAAGCGAAGGTAATTTTTGATCAAGGACAGCAATCTGGTCAGATAAAAGAAACAGGAATTTGCTTTTATTTGATATCGTGGAAGCGGTTTGGTGTCATTATAAGGCCTATGTCATGCATATGAAGAGCG